GCAGCCCAATGTGTAACCGCTGTCCTGCTGGCTTCTAAGGGCTATTCGAGTGGAAGCTGTCGTACTTCTATCACTCAACGTTTGTGTAAACGGGCATCGCCTCTACTTACAATGGCCCCTCCTCCATAGAGACGTTGATGTGAGCACTGATTTTCAAATCCTTCTGAATTTTAGGGTCACAGGCTTGGCTGAAAGTGCCCAGGTAGACTCTTCTGAACAGTATCTCCACGGGGTATGGCTGATATGCGTCCAGTTCCTGGGATTCGGGGGAGTGGGGAAGCAAGGAGGGCAAAGGTCGCTCTAAGTCTAGTCATCAAACCAAAAAACCCAACCCACCACCATGGAGTCCATCCCGGAGGGCTCACAGCGCCCCTAGAGGACAAGGCGGAACTGCCCCTGTGGGTTCCTGAGACTGACACTCTTGACGGGAGTCCAAAGAACCGTCTTGGTCCCGTGGAGCGGCTCCTGGGTTGGAACTGGTGGCCTATGGTTAGCAGCACCAGGCATCACCCCGCAGGCCACCAGGGCTCCTCCGTCTGTCCACCAGGGAAGAGTTGGTCCCTGGAAGCTTCTTAAGCAAACACATTTCCCAAGACGACCCAGGTCAGGGAATTGGACTGGGACTCATGCTGCCCACAGTGACCCGCACCAGGAGGTGGAGGGCTGATTGTAGTGTGCTGAATCTCACCCCCGACACCCCCTCCCCTGCACAGAACCCATCTGCACCTGGCCGGGGGGCCCCAGGGCTGGAGCCCAGCACCCAGCAACCCAGAACTGTGTAAACACAGGGGCTGTGTGTCCTTAGAGGTGGGGTGGGGAGGGACAGTTGGAGGCCCCTGCTCCCCTAAAACCAGTAAAGCTATTCACGTGGACCCTGTGGGTCACCTGAGCATTCGTTCTGACAAAGAGGCGGGATGTGTTGAGAATGGAAGCTGACTGGATTTCCAGGCCCCAAATTGGAAGGAATCAACTTACATTTCTTTGGAAAGCAAAGAAACAAAGAGGGTGAGTTCTACGTTTGCCAACATGTGAAATATGACTTTCTAGTCTCGCCCAAGCCCGTGTGGAGCAGGGTCCCAAGAGCCAAGGCACTCTGGGACTAGCACAAGTGATGAGACACAGTGGCCGGCCATCGCTTGCTGGACGTGCTAAGAAGCCTCTTGAATTTGGACCCCTGTTGGTTTCTAGGATAATCTGACCTGTGACCATTTTCTCCAACCAAGTGTTTCCCATAAACACACATCCCACCTTTTTAATCCCCATCAATACTCCCTCCATAGGAGATACACTGACAACTGCCGAGCTATGCAATTCCAGGAGCCCTGGTAGTGGGAATGGGTTACACAGTGGGCTGCTAACCACAAGGCCAGCAGTTAGAAACCACCAGCCGCTCTTCGGGAGACAGATGAGGCTAAGAGCTACAGTCTCAGAAACCCATAGGGGCGGTTTGACTGGATGGCAGTGAGTTGAGATGTCATTCCAAATCAGCTTCCCAAATCCTCCGATTCCAAATCTGATTTGGAAAAAACATCATGAATATCGCAGGCTGCTTCACTGTCCACTTCTGTCCTTCAGAGATGCCTGGATTCAGCCCCCACTCCCCTAGCCACACCACACACACACACACACACACACACACAGTCGAAAATCCACATTCTCCCCAAGTTGTCAGCTTCACACTGTCTCAGAGGCCTCATGAGCAGACAA